TTTTCCCAAAACCTTTGACACTTCATCCTTCACCCCAATTTCTTAATAATTTTTTTGATACAGAGTGTCTCAAACTGGCTCAGAAAAACATTCCAGTCATCGTTAAAATGGACGTAAAAAACATGCTTTAGCGTACTCCAGAACATTATCTGTCGATTTCCCAATATGCAATTAAAGCCGGTAAACAGGTAGAGAATCCATTCTAAGTCTGCGAGAATGTAAATGGCGAGAAAGCAAGCGACGAGACAATTCCGGGGATTATTTTCAAAAGCTCGAGGATTAACTGGAACTGTGCAGGAAATATAAAGCGTCCGCACTCTGTAAAGCCGAAAAACACCGGCAAATTGAGGACTCAAGTTCTTTCCCTAAAAAATCAGGTTTTTCGAAAAGTTTCCTCAAAAAACCGTTCACAACTCGAAAAAAATTAGACAAAGAGTAGGGTTTACCGACCGGAAAATGCTGCTAAACACCGGGGTTTTCTGGATTAGTGGCTCGTGTTGAATGCATTCCCTCCGAAAAAACGTATAAAATACCGTTAAATTATGCTTATTGCTTTACAGCACTATCTTCCCGTTTAATTTAAACGGGCAGTTTTCAGGCAATAAAAATGTACGCCTTCTGGCTGGAAAACGTCTTTTTATTTATGAGCCAACAGTACTGGAAACAGGACAGGACAAAATGCGGAAAGGAAATCACGCTGTTTTGATGTGTCCGATAGAGCCAGGAGAGTTGGGAGATTTTTTGCGTTTTTGCTTTGTTGACTGGGCAAATGTTCAGGCTATACATGTAGGAAGTTTCCAATTGATTCCATCATCAGGAGTCTATGCAGAATTTTTTAAACTTTATGGTGTTTTGAATGTAATCAAACTGTAAGAAGTTTTTCAAAAATGTATACTGTGAAAGCCAAGAATGGGCCAAGATGGCGCTTCCTATTCAAAAGGCAAAAGTTAGTTGTAAAAATGTGTAAAGTTTCAATAGGAGCCACCTTCAAGAATTCTTAGAGAAATTCTGAAAGTCTTGGGCGTCTTTAATAGCAGACTTTTGCATTTTGCAAATTAATTTAGCCAAAGCAGGGAAAGACTGAAGTTTCGAAACTTTTGAGCCGAACAAGCAAAAGTTGAGTCAGTCGTTGTGTAAAGTTTTGAATTACTGACATCATCAACCAATTTTTAAGAAATTTCTCAAACCTCCGCACCTGAAAAGGGGTCAGACATTTCTGCAAGGCGTTTTTCATAAATTAGTTGAGCCAAGATTAGAACAGATTAAAAATTTTAGACTTGGAAATTGAATAAACAAGAAACGGATAATTGTTTGGAAGTTTCGAATTGGCACCATCATCAGGGATGCTTCGAGGATTTTTGAAAGAGTGTCTGTTTAAGCAAACAATTTAGCTGGGAGTTGAAAAACATTATTGAACAAAAGGCAAAAGGGGTGCAGAGTTTTCTTTTGTACATTTAAGAGAAACATTTGTGGCAGTAAATAGGAAAGTTTCCAATTATTACAATCTTCAGGTATTTTTCTAGGATTTTTAGTGGCGTTCGCTCAGCACATTTTGCACGAAGTTTTCCAAACATTTATTGGGCAGAAACGAAGTGAAGTGATGGATTCTCTATCTCTGTGCTAAAAATGCAATTGTCTGGTTTATTTACTGAAAACGTTTCAATTTAGTACCACCATCAGGAAATATTCCAGAATTTTTTGAACTTTAGTGTTTTATGTTGCAAGATGGCACAAAATCATTTTGCGTAAGCTACTTCAACAATTCATTCATCCGAAGCCAAATAAGGTAGAAATGTTTCCATTTTTCTCTTAAAAACACAAGAGAGCAATGCATAATTAGGTAAAGTTTCAAATTGATATCAAAAACAGAGATTTTGAAAAAAAATCAGCTTCAAATACTCACACAAATACAAACCTAGATAAATTCTGCTTTGAATTTATGAGCTTTTCTGAGCGGCTGATCAAGTGTGGCTTCTAGAGTTCGGAGGCACTTTAACAAAAAAGAAACGCTATCGGCGCCGTTAAAAACGAATCAAATTAAAACATCAGAAAAAGTGTTTATAAAAGGACTTTAATCGGTTCGAGTTGGATTTCTTTGAAAGGCGCCCCGTTATATAAACTATGCATGCAAATCCATGCAAATGGGGCCGAAAAGGGGCCCCGTCCGTGGCATTAGGACACCTTTAAAAGTGATTAGGACCGCGCTGTTTCTCCTAATGCTATTAGAAGGCAAATTACGAGCCCGGTATGAATGTTTTATCGGAGTTTTGAGTGTCGGCTGGGAAAAAAGGCGAGCCATCATCCAACCACCACCACACACACACGTTCGATTGTCGTCGGTTCGAACAGGAATTCTTGTTTTTCTCCGACAACTCAATAAAGTCAGCTAGGAGGGCATGCAAATCAGACCGAAGAAGCAGCAGGATGTCGTTCGCACGGGGCTTTCTGATAAAACCGTCAAAGTCCAATAAGAGTCGGAGTATGCGAATGAGATGTCTCTATTGTCGGATTCGGTATTGCATGTAATTACGTTCTTTATTGCCAGGGAAAGCTCTAAATTGGACGACTTGAGCAAATGTTTCAAGCAAAAGAAGCTTCCGAGGCGGTTAATGAAGCTCGTTAATTAACTCGAGAAGAAATACGTTTTTAATTAAGCCACTCGGAGGTGCATCGCAAGCTTATAACCGGGCAAACTTTCTTAATAAACGATTGCATATTTTCCTGCTTTACTTAACGGAATATGGATCCCGAGGGCCCCGTTACTGCCCAGTCAATTTTCGGCCTATTTCAGCCACTTTGCCTTCATCCACACTTAAAGCTGACCGTTCCGATGCATTTACATATCTCCGAAGGCCTTCAAATTGTTTTCGCCACTTTTTTTCAATAAACTCTTACGACTTGACGGCATAATAACAATAAATATTTATGGCGTTTTGCGTTATTTCCACCGCCCTGTTGGATGTGGCACTTTCGACTGTCCAGACTGTTCAATTTCCAATGGGAAAAACGCCTGGATGGACGGGGAGATTGAAGCTTGTTTCATATTCATCAGTGACTCGTAAACTGTTGTTGCTCATAAAAGTGCAGAACTAAAATTGTGAGCGACAAGAAATGCTTATGAGAACTAGCAATGCATGCCTTAAGCCGAAAAAGTACTGGAAAGAAAATGTATTTTTGTCCATTATTTTTTTCTCATATTGTGTAGTGTTTTTCATACATTATTCAGTTGAAAGGTTTCCTTTAATAAAGTCTGCAAATATTGCACAAAATTATGGAAAAGCAATTAGTTTGGAAACTTTTTTGTCTGCTTTATTTTTGCCTCAACTTTTGGAAAAGCGATTTCTCAGAAACAAGTAGAAATATCTACTTGAGCTTTCCAGGGCTCTTCAAGTGGAGTTTGATGCTTAATTCTATGAGAGTGTAACTGAAATTGTTGCAGCCAACTTGTTGGAGTTAATTTGCCAAATTTGAACAACTTTTCGGTTTTGCCACATTTCTGCACTATATTTTTAAGAAACGATTTCTCATTAAGAGCAAGGACAGCTATAAATCTGCAATTTTCACTCGGCTCAGACTCAGTTCAGACGGCTCAGACTCAATTCTCTGTAAGACTCTTTAAATTCCGTCAGCTGTATTTGCCGGCATTGATTTTCAAAATTTGAGTAGTTTTCTGACTTTTTGCGCCATTTCTGCACTGCACTTATAAGAAACCATTTCTCAAGAGCAAGAACAGCTATAAATCTGCAATTTTTAGGACTCTTTAAGAGACGACTCAGACTCAATTGTGTGTAAGACTCTTTAAATTCCGTCAGCGAAATTTGCCAACATTGATTTTCAAACTTTGAGTAGTTTTTTGACTTTCGCCATATTTGCACAGCACTTTTAAAAAACCACTTCTCAAGAGCAAGGACAGCTATAAATCTGCAATTTTCAGGACTCTTTCAGAGACGGCTCAGACTCAATTCTCTGTAAGACTCTTTAAATTCCGTCAGCTGTATTTG